AATAAACGCTTTGAAATACATTAAGTAAACAGTACAGTTATTTCAAAATGCGCTGTTGTTAGACCTAATCAACGCAAAAGAAAACCATTGGGTTGTTTTACTGGGAAATCAAGTCGAACAAAGTAATCAGATGAAATGTTTTGTTATCGCCTGAGTTGAAGAATAAGGTAGTGGGTGTTAATAGTAGTGCTAAACATTCCCCTTCTGGTTCTAAGCTCTATTTGGAAAAATTGAGTCTGCAGAGACTAAAAGTCTGGTATACCAACTGCGGCAGTATCAGAAATACACTGAAAGAGTTAACAATGAGGTATATGTCTACTAATGTGGCTGCTGTCATAGTAACCAGGCTTTCTCCAAGCGACATGATTAGTCATCAGCAAACTGCCTTCGCGTCTTGCAGTGCAGGTTGGCCTATGCATCAAACTAGCGGAGCAGTCTTTGTAATTACAGCTAACGTTTTGATGGCTTTTGCATTTTAAGGGTAGGGAGTAGGCTGGTACTTAGACTATATGGCTCTAAAAGTTAATCCACTACAGAGGGGTAAGTGAATTACTGAAGCGCACAGTAGTGTCTGTGCGTGTCGTGTTGATTGTTAGTGACTAAAATTTTCGCATACTGATTGTAAGTTGTCATCAACAGAACGGAGCTCCTGCATTAAAAGTAGCAGACCTGAAGCGCGAGGTTGTATTAAAATAATATGCCAACTTTTCGACTATAAGCCTTATCAATGGTTACACCAAACCGCACTGTCGTGATCACTAGTTAGAAATAAATGACAAACCTGTACGCACAAGCATCTGGAGGTAAATCAATTCTGCGTTCTTGCCTTCTTGAACGCAACAAAATTTGTATAAAACCTTTAAATAGCCAGAAATACAGGTTAGGTTTATAAACTCAAGCTGCAAGATAATGCACTTTATATCATTTGAATTCATGATTAATAACAACTATCTCTAGAACAGAAGTTGTACTTACCTACAGCTAAGCATGTGCAGCTGTTAAAAGGTTTGAACTCTTAGCTCTAGTACACATGTTAGTAAGGCTTAACGGTGTAGGAATATAAACAGTAGAACCATAAAGAGACGTAATAATAAGTGAAAAGGCTTCCAACTATCTTAAGACCTCTGCCACTGGCTGCAGTACAAATAGCCTGGTAGTAGGCTGCCAAACTGTACAGTCAGGAGAAAGATTCATATATAATTATGTCAGATTACCTTACACTTTACAGTTGGAGCCAGTCAAAGTTTTCCTTTAAAAAACGGACATGTTTCTAAATAGGGATGAGGATTAAAAATTTGGGGAAGACAGAGATAGTGCGCAAGTGCTGCTTCGTGTTTTCTAGAATCGGCAACGTCATTAACATAAGTGTGTCATTACAGCAGTACTACGCAAGTAGCTATATAATGCGACACATTGTCCTAACTTCACCAAACGGCTTTGCAGTAATGACCAGTTGGAACCCTTTTAAATGAAATGGTTCCGAAAAGGTACATAAGGTGGTCGTTGCACCACTAGCTAATGTACTTTAGTATCTTGCAACAAAAATTTTCAACATGTCACGGCAACCTACTACGTGGTTAAATGGAGGTGACAACAGTTGCAATTTTCAAGCGGACTCTAAATTAATTTGCTTGGCGTTCTGACCAGGTGCTTAGATACGCTTACCAAAGCAAGATTTGTAAAATACTGGGTAAACATAAATAATTATAACGAAGCAGTATAACATCATTAATAAAAGTCGTGTTTTACTACTTTATACTCTTTAGATGAGCTAAGTCGGCCTTGTGATAATGGATAATTAACAGGTTTCGTTATACGGGATTTAGTAAGGCTTTTGGCTTGATAAACCACCGTTTCTTGCACATTTACCGTTACATTTACCGTTACTTGTACATGTTACTTGATTTAGAGTACATTTCAACTCGTCAAATTGACTTTATAAATTTTGTTTGTGGGCAAACATCTATTGGTATAATAGTGTAAGTAGGTACTTTCATTATTTTGCTTGCAGTATTGCTCCCAATCCTCAGTACCAAGTCCATCATTATTTTTTTTCAAGTGACGACTGATCATCCTGCGGAGTGTTGCTACCTTTTTGTATATAACTTGAATTTAGCAGCAGCAAACCTGCAAACCTTGGGGACATCAGTTTAGCGAGATCTTGGATAGTGATTCCGAAGGCAGATTGTTGCAGAGACAGTTTATTTGTACAACAAAAGGTTTCCTGTTAGCCTAGCCTTAAAAAACAGTACCGTTGAACGTTTTTAGTTAGAAAAACGAAATTGCACAGCACACCGTACGATTGCCCGTTGGATTCAAAGCAAGCGCAGAGCAAAGTGCCGCTGCTCAATTCAAGAAATCATACGCGGCAAACTTTTCAACAATCAACGCCGCTCGTCTAAGTATTATATCTAAAAGGATAGTTTTAGTTAAAATTTTATACAGACAAGTCGGAGAATCTGCTGAATGCTACCCCAACATGACTGACCATAGATACCATTAACTTAGTAAATTAATCAACTCCTTGGCATTTTCCCATGAATGTCAAGATTTTTCGGCTGATGGGTACTGCTGGTGATAAGATTACAGTGTAAACTTCTTAGAAGTCTATGGATTTGTTGTATAGTAAGTCGAAAAGCATTTAAGCGTCGTCATGGTGAGCATTACCAAGCACTGACACAATTTTTCTATGCTGCTAACAAGGCTAACTTAGTTTATTGTCGCATCAAAACTGCGCTATATAGCACCAAGCCTGAAGTCTTTTGATTATATATAAAGCAGCGGTTAGTCCACATTTGCGGTACTGCATTCAGGCTTTGGCGCCGCACATCCATACTTAAGCAAGTTGTACGGTAAATATTCAGCAAATGGCAAGCAGGATCATTGAAGATTATCAAGAAAAATTTTATGTATATCATCTAAGTGGTAAGGCTTATTTCTTTGGTGTTACTTGATTTGACAGTTGGTTTAGTAGAGACGTGTAATACAATGATAGCTTTAGTAGCACCAAGCCTCCCGATATGGTTCCGCCAGCGGCTTCTTGTCCCTTGAGCGGACATCATTTGATTCGTAAACAACCGAATGCTGGATTGGATATCAGAGCAACATTTTTACAAAATTTGCTGTAATTTGGTATAGTAAAACTTCACCTAATAATAGACCACGAAATTACGGTATCGTTAACAAGGGAGACCTAACCATGTACTGGCCAGATCTTGTTCTATAATTAATGTTAGTGCATTATATCTGTGGCAGTTTGCTCACGAAAAGTAATTTTAATTAATAACAGCACCAAGCTTGTTTCTGTACTTGCTTCACTAAGTTGGATATAGTAGAGATAATCAACCAAATGCCAAAAAATTTAAGATGCTAGTCATTGGAATTTGTACTGATCTGTGTAGGGCATCTAAAGGAGTGGCTATCAAACGTCTAAGTTTAGGGGCTAGTAGTGGTTTTGATTACACTATATTTTATTTTTGATTTTATCACTTTCGTTACAGATCACTTTGTACCATTTGTTTAAATTCACAAATTTAGTGCACAACAATTTCTACGCGCTTGCGTCATGCTGCTTTCGTCTGCTACTTCCTTTGCTTGTGCTGCTGCCATGTCTTTCCAGTAGTCGGCTTTATATCTTCGAATCGCCAGTCGGCATCGGGATAACATTGAGTGAAGAAAGAAGCAGAACGTAAATATGCTATATTGTTCTTCTATTTTGCGTTTTTGCATAAGACTGTCTTTTGCCTCCCCACTCGAAATTATTAGTTAACGGTCCTCTATATGCTTTAGTTCGGTTACACATACAAATAACAAGACGATCTTTAGGCGGAGGCCTGTGTAGTCATTGGATCCTGACATGACCTGACTATGGATGTTAAGGTTAACAACATTTTGGCAGGCACTATGTAGACAGTAAAGCCTAAATTTAAATTTAAATTTAATTTAGTAAATTTACATCAGCCTGTACCCACCAGTCACTAAACAGTGTCTGCTGGAGTGACCGTTGGGGCTTTCTATGTGACCAATATTTATGCATCCGGCTGTCCCACTTAGATAATTTTCGGACGACAATTGTCCACCTAGAATGTTTCTTTTCCAACCCTGGCCACAAGGGTGGCCAAAACTTGACCGCTGGAGTGACCTTTGGGTCTCCCTAGGTGCCCAAGTTTTATGCCCCCGGCCGTACCCGTTAGACAGATTTTGGAGGATATTTAGTTAAACGGAATGTATTTTTCCAATCCATCCTTAACATGTACCTCGGATGCCATTTTTCTAGTTTCAAATACTGTCAATATAAGACGAAATCTATTCCTAAATTGTAATCACGCAATAGCATAGCCCTTAGGATAAAGCGAAAATATTTGTGAGTGACCGAAATTCGTCTAGCTTGGGATAACGTTTTTACTTAGGATGTTTTTACAACGCATCCTTACCATACACCGTAAACGCACTATTCTGATTTCACCTACTGTAAAGATTCATTAAGCATAATATAATAGCACAACACAATAGCCTTTAGGCTAAGTCGAAAATGTTTCCAGCGACCAAGCTTTGACAAAATCTTTTCCATTGGGAAGTCCAGGAACACAAACTTTTTGTACTCCGGGCGCTCACTGAGTGCGATATTTAAAAAAGGAAGGCGTTTTAGGCAAAGGTGCTAAAGTTGCAGAACCTTGTTTACCAGCATATCTGGACAAGGCACGCCATTTATTTCCACACTAAATTTCTGCCTCTGTAAATGACCAAAAACATGCCCAAATGGAACGGTTACCCGTCCATGTCTGAGGACAGGGAAAAGAAGACAACTATTATTTTTGGTTTTCAGCTGCAGGTTGTGTATTTTATGGTAGAATTGCGATACATGTTGCACACAGTCATCAACCCAGCGATAACCGCTGTCAAAATGCACCTGACCCTGAAATGTAAGGTGTTTACAGATACACTTATTCGGTAGTTAGAACGGTCTGTGATTATTCGTCTACAGCAACGAAGTTACTCACCTCCAGGTATGAAAGTTAGCCTTAAAAACTGTTCAGGAAATAGTTGAACTATTGAGGGAAGCAATAAATGCAGTGGCAGTAATCCAATCATCCATGTGGGCGGAAAAATTATCATGTTTCAAATTATTACCACAAAAGAGTACAAACGTGAAGGTCAAACGTTGAAATGAACTATCTTCACTGTACGCTAAATATGTTGCAAGTAGCTGATATATATATATATATATATATATATATATCAGGTAATTGCAATTAAAGCAGTAGGAAATTTGTTCCAATGATGAAGAACACGATTTGCAAACAACTTAGCCATGATCTCCAGCCTCTACCTCTGATGCTTAATCTTAATGTCATACCCCCGTAAGTGGACGGTTGTAACAATTTCAGACAACTCGGGCAGCTTGCTCCGCTGAGGTCTGTCATAATCTTGAACATTTCCATCAGGTCTCCTCGTACTCTGTGCCGGTCCGTAGAGAACAAACATAAGCCCTTTATTGATTTATCGTATGGTTGCTTGCGCTGGCCATCAATCCTCCTAATCATCATGGTTTGTGCTGATTCTTTTTAAGTTATATCCCTTCTGAGATATGACTCCCATGCCTGCACACTACTAAGGGATGTCGTACCACCGCCTTATGTAAGTTCAAGTTCAAGTGGGACTGGAACGATAGGATGAATCCCATAAGTGTTCCTTCTTGAGCGGGTCGTCGATCCAGGAGTTGGTAGGGGCGCTCCGACTTCTTGATGGGTCTAAAAGGAAAACACCCGAAAAAATACCCTGGTCCACCAATTTAATGCCCACGTTCCTTACGTTAGCTGTCCCTGCTGTCAGTTACGTGAAGTAAGTAAGAGAGGAAGAAAAAGCGAAGGTAAGAGAGTAAGGGAAATAAGTTAAAAGAAAAGAATACTACCAATGGCGAGGAAAAGTAACGAAAATAGAATCGAAGTATGAAGATGGGAATTGGTCGGGAAAAAGGAAAGGTTTCGTGCTGCCACCCAAGAGCGTCTAGTTGACGCTCAAACCACTTAACCGTAGCTTCCTTGACAACATGTTCTGGAAGCAGTTTCCAGCGCTGGATGGCTCTACGTGCTAAACGTGTCTCCGCTCTAACTCGATCGGACCGCGGTTTGTCCAGCTTCATACAATGCCCGCGAAGACCAGATAATCTAGCAGGGCTAAATAGCCAGCACAAATCAGGGCCAACCTTCCCAGTCAAAATACGGTAGGTTAGGATTAGGTCCCCTCTAATCCTTCGATAGTGCATTGACTGCATCCCCAAACTAAGTAGGCGTGCCGGGTACGTTTGCCCTCGTAATCCCTTGGCCAACCTAGTACCGACACGCAACACCCTCTCTAGTGCCATTTTGTCCAGGACAAGGCATGGTGAACAGGCCTGGACGCAATATTCTAGGTGGGGTCGCACGAACGATGAGAAGAGCTTCACAAACACATCGGCGGTTAGGGTCATAGAAGAACGACGGATAATCCAAAACCTCCGGAACCCTTTACTAGCCGCCTTCTTCCAGTTGTCGCCAGAGTGTAGTGTGGAACAGTAGACCACGCCTAGATCAACCTAAGGAGTCAAGTGAGGAAGTTCACTTCCATCGAGCACATAACTTGTGGAGGAAGCAGACGCTCCGATACGCAGCACTGAACACTGCCCAGTTTATGGGCAGCAACCACAAGACAGACCATTCCCAGAGTCCATCCAGAGCCCGCTGAAGAGCCATAGGACCTCCAGGGATATCAACCACATTCCAGAGCTTTAGGTCACCAGCAAATAAGAGCGATGGTACCTCAAGCTCCTCCGGCAAGTCATTCATGTAGACAGAAATAAGCAGCGGACCTATGACAGAGCCTTGCGGAATGCCGCTAAGTACAGCTTGTCGAAACGAAAGACTGCTTCCCACACGAATACACTGTTCCCGTCCATCCAGAAAAGCTGACACCCACTGGAGAGCGCGGCCAGCTATTCCATACGACCTCAACTTCATTGAGAGTCGCGGATGGGGGACCGTGTCAAAGGCCTTGGCGAAGTCAATGAACACCACATCCACCGCATGTCCCCTGTCTACGGCTTCAACCCAGCTCTCATGAGCTACCATCAAGTTCATCTGACACGAAAATCCTATGCGAAAACCATGTTGCTCGACGCAAAACAGGTTAAACCTATTTAAATGGTTCTCCACTGTATCTCGTACTACTTTTTCAAGTAACTTAACGACCACGCTAATCAAGCTGACAGGCCTGTAATTAGCCGGTAGATCTTTGTTACCGCACTTGAAAATCGGGCAGACAACAGCCTCCTTTCATTCGGTAGGCAAGATACAGCTGTTAAGTGACTTCTGAAACACATAAGTCAGAGGTCCACTGAGTTCCATTGCCAATTCGTGCAACAATTTTGGATGAACGAAATCTGACCCGGAAGCCTTAGTTGGGTTTACCTTTCTTAGCAACCGGAGAACTTGGTACTAAGTTACAGGAATTTCATCTAGACAACAGTCCTCAGAGACTCTTGAAGCTAACTCTTTGCATGGCGTATTTGTTTCGCGGACAAAGACGCTTGAGTACTGCTCACCTAAGCTTCTGGTTTGGAGTTGCATAACGTTCTCGGGAGAATAACTCCTACTGCGCCTCTTTTGCGACCTGCTGGCATTGTGCAAAAGCTTAGAATCTATTCGTCATAATGATAGCCAAATCTCGAGCCTCATCAACGGTCCGCAATATCCGGGCGCCGTCAGTAGTTTGCACTGTAAACCCATGGTTGCTGGAAGAAAGCAAGAGATTTGCTGGCCGTTATTTGCTAATCCCACTATGAACATCACCCTACAGTGCAAAGGTCTTTTGTAACTTTCCTCAAGCGTCCCTGTTTATACGTTTAACGTCGCTTGCAAAGACGTGGCAAAGATTGGCGAAGAGCGGAGCCAAATCACTTGTATACAAAGCACAATGTTGGGCCTAAAGCAGAACCCTGAGGAATACCGCTGTGAGCGATACCTACACTTGCCCACGAGTCACCGGATATAACTCGGACGGTTCTCGGGCTAACAAAGTGATTGTTTATAGCTCATGCAAAATAAACAATGATCATGTTTAGTTGCAGGTGTGGTGCAAACGGTAAGAAAATACCTTGAGTGTTCTTGAGCGGATCATTGTTTCGGCAAATGATTTGGTGCTCCTTGAAGCTGATGCATCCAAATGGAACCACTCGAAGCACACCCTGGTTAGCCAGGTACTGCCCTCGTTGCCTGCTACAGCAGTCCCCGCTGTGCTAGTCCTTGAACTAATATTGATATGAGAGGAAGGCGGAAGCCAATGGGGATGAAAGTCATTTAAATGTAGGTGAATATTACAAAGTGAGGAACAGCAAAGGATATGAGATCAAGGTAGGAAATAGAAATGGTACATAGCATGGCAAAGATTCGTTTTCCACCGAAGAGTATCTAACTGGAGCTCAAAATACTGCATCGTGGGTACACTTAATTCACTCTCTGGACACATTCTAACGCAAAATAATTCTACGCGATAACCGATACACTTAAATATGCGCATCCGCTGTCTGAGTTGACAAATGATCACATTTTATACATCACAATGTTGAAGCGACAATGACGTTGATTATTCCTTTTATTTCAAGGACTTATTTCACAGGACAATTAACTAACGGCGCAGCGGGCTGTAAAAGTGCAGGGTTGTAACTCATGCATTGTTTCTAAACTTTTATTATGCAATATACCGATATTTCTTGATGCGTTGATTTTTGATGTTGCGAGGCTGCTTGATGTGTCCTACTGTTCATTTCAACCGACTTATGCTACTTAACAATTTCGTTCACTACAGGTCCAGATATTTTGGAACGCAGTTTGCCTAAGGTTCTCATGCTGCAAAATACGGAACTGCTGTTGGAGTTCTCGACAATAATAGATAAATGCTCTGTGTCTACCTCGGTGATAATAAATATAATTTCCAATATTTTAAGCGCGCACTTAGACTTTCCAACTCACAGCAACGCATACCTATATATCCACAACTTGATACGCAACACTGCTTTTTTGCCACTGTCGTCCAGAGCTTGGTATTTTGTTTTCATCTTGCTCCGCAATGTTTTGTGCAGATGGAGAAAGAAGAAGACACCGTTGTCTCATTGAGTGGTTCTCCGCCATATTTTAGGAGAAGAATAACAGGAGATATGGTATCCACTAAGGCGTAGCGACTCAGGCAGCCCAGTTTGGTCTTTAATGCTTTGTAGAAATTCCCAACTGTTTGGATACGCGCAAGCCTGCCAAGTCGGTAATTATTTGCGTGGTATTCACATCAGCTGGCTGGCGCCAACACAGTCGAATGGTATATTTAATCCGAAAGTAGCCGCCGTGATTATTTAAAAGTTTGATCATTATCAGTGTCTATTTCTGAAAGCTAGGTCAACTTGTCAATTAACCTGCGCCCCATCTTATGAGCAACCTTTAAACGTTCCACCTTCTTGTACACGGCTGTGGTGTGGGTTCCTCGCAACAGATAAAAATTAAGTATTCGGCGAACTGTTACCGTTGCTTCTTTCAGGCATTTTGTATTTTGCCTAAAGAATCAATGTAGTTTTCAAGATAAAACGGTGGCAACAGGCATTTGACAGCTTTTCTATGGGTAAACCAGCTGTCAAGCAACTGTCGTATTTTTGGTTTTGCCTTTATACAAATATAAACAAATAATTCATTCTCGAATTTATGGTGGCACACCAAATCGGCCATTGTCAAAATTTACAAACTAATGTTTCGCAGCGGCGACGTTGGTATGTATGTAATCGACAGTAGCCGAATTTTGTACGAGCTGCGAAAGTTGAAGAAGTACCCATAAGGAATAAAGTTGACAGTGGAAAGTGATACTTTGGGTTCAAGTGTGGGTAGCGTAAACAGACAATGCACTCTAAGTATAGTGATAAAGGCAGATGTAGACAGTGCGTATCTTCTTGAATGTGCCGAGGAAAGCTTGAAATATGTGTCTAGCCGAGTTACCAGTATGCAGTTGTAGGCAGTGACTTATTCAGTAGTTGTAATGTCCCCCCCGGTGTCATTAACGGACATTTGTGGCCTTTTAGCTGAAGAAAGCTTGCCAAGCATAAACCCACAACGTTCTTGAACACTACCGTACCTAC